ATGCACTGGTCATGCATCACAGTTAAAATCAGCAGAGTGAGACTTTGAGGTCTCAACTGCATTTGCTTGCTCCTGCAACTGATTTTGTGCTCGATTAAATTTATGAAAAACACCTTTCATTTTGTGATGTTACAATAGGGAAGTTAAAAAAAAGAACTTTGCTATGTATAAATAATGTAAGACATGCAGAAAAAGCACAACTTACCAACTTGAATTCCCATTAGATTATAAACAGTACTGATGAAATTTGCCACAATTTGGTCTCAATTTTATTCTATCAAAATGTGATAATTATAAGAAACATTTTTTAAGAATTGAGCAAGAATTTTCCGGGGTATCTATTTGTTAAAAATCTGATGTTCAATCAATCAGAAAACAAAATGCTTCAAAGAGCTCATGTTCTACCAGCTTCAGTTTAGGCAAGTCCAAGATTTGGTACAGGTCCTTGTCACTGAAATATGTGCAATATAATTGGCTAGGCATTTTTTACAGGATATGTGAAAGCATTATATTTTAAAAATAAAAGAAAATTATTTATTTCACCCAGGAATTTTGAGTTTAAGTGATTCTTTAATACTAATGTTGTTGAGTGAGTGCAGATATAACTTAGTGGTCCAACCTCAGATGTAGAGATATTTTTCATTTATGCAGGCCAGTGAGTCTCAAGAAAATGAGGAACTCTATAATAAAATTATAGGAGACACAGGTTATTTTTTGTTATTGATAGGAATAAATTAATAGGAAGATAAAGCTTTTCAATCAGAAAGTAACTACAAGGAAAACTAAGAACGAATATGGAAAATATCGATATAATTTTATATAAGGCTATACTTCAAATATACACAAATATTCCATTTTTTTATGCATTTAAGACAGAATCAGACATAAAGTTGTATCAAATGGGGATTAGAGGTAATTGGAATTGTATTCCATAAAAAGAGGCTGTATATTACAGCTTGGACTCTGTTTACGGTTTAATTTAAAAACCTTATCTTGGCTGGCTCTAGATACTTTCCTACATATCATTAGAAAAGGTTTCAATTTAGTTATGGAAATACTGATAATCAAAACACCTATTCATGGAAGCCTTAAACACAGGACAGCTATTTCATATGATTTAATTTGGTAGGGTTCAATACTCAATTAAAAATGCTATAATATTCAAATTCAATTTTGGTTGAATTAAGGAGATTTAAGGTTTCTGATTTTAAAAATTCTTCAATTATATGATCTTAATATCAGAAAAATATATATTTATAAAAGAAAAGAATGAGAATTCATATAATCCTAGATTTATGTTATTGATAAACCAGTATGTGTGTGTGTGTGTGTGTGTACAAAATTAGGGTAGGGCTAAATATCAAAGAAATGAACAAAGTAATTTAACTGCTCCTACAAAATTAGATTTCAGATATTTTTTTACTCCTACAGTAATTTTCAAAGGTAATTTTGACTACATTTTCACAAATAGTAGATTTGGGGGAGTTTATTTACTTATTTATTTAGAGAGTGGTCACGCCCAGTGTGAAACCCAACATCGGGCTCCATCTCAAGACCAGACAATCATGACCAGACAATTGAGAGCCCCATGCTCAACCGACTGAGCCACCCAGGTGCTGCAGGATTTGGAGGAACCTAATCTGGGCATTCTTTCTATGAGTATATCTTCCCACTCCTATCACTGAAACTGCAGATTGGCCTGGGTGGCAATTTGAAAGATTAAAATAGGTTATGCTGATTTGATATTTATTATCTTAATTGCTCACAACTAGCACAGACAATGAAATGCCAACAGGAGGCTCAGGCAGCTTCCAGGCAATATTTTGGAAAAGATGCTTACTAGCTCTGAGACTTCAGGCAAGTTATTTAAACCGACGTGAAAAAGTAGATAGGTGTGATAAATAAGAGATGGTGCTTAGAATGTAATATTAGTAATAGCTCTTACAGTATGTTAGATAAGAGAAAACAGCAGTTTTACATTTTATGGTTAATTGAGATTTATGCTTACTGTTCTTAGAAGACAGGTCTTTAAGCAAAACTTTCGTAGGAATTGCCTTTAAGTGTATACTTGTCAGCCTACAAAGCAGAGAGAAATGCTGCTGTTATTGTGAAAAAATGCAAGTAAATGTGGATCCTTTGTGTAAAGACTGTTTGGGTCTTAATGATGTAATAATCTTGCCAGTCTTACACCCCACTTCTTTCTTAAACTCCTATAATTTGATTCTTCATTTAAACATTAATGCTACTTTTTCTCCTGCTGCTGCTACACTTATTCTGAAACAAGATTTCCCAGTATTTTTGCCTCCATATTTTATTGTTCCTGTATTTTTTAATAGTTTTGATGTTGGTAATATTGACCTTACTGTTTAACGCCTGCACGAGCAAGCGCAAGCGCACGCGCACACACACACACACACACACAATTTCAGCAATCTTTTTATGGCCTTTGATTACAATAATATTTCTTGTTCTCAGATTGCTATTTTTTAAAATTATGTTAAATGATGCTAACGTTACTATATTAAATAATGTAGTTACTTCCTGATTGAAAGCACTAACATTATTTAACAACTCAAGTTGAGACTTGTCTTTGTAACTGAGCCATGAGAACTAGGGTTGCTGTCCCCTCTCCCTTGCTCACTTAAACAACTAGAAAACAGGACAAACTATACGCCGACACACAACAGACTTGTTAAACATTTTTTAAACTGATAAAACCAAGTATTTTAAAGAATACAGCTACTCTAGAGAACACTTGGCAGTTTCTTAATGTTTAAAAGTTAAAGTCCCACAATGCAGCAATTCCATTCCTAGGTATTTACCCCAAGGTAAAAAAAACATGTTCCTAAATCTCATGAACTTGAATCTCATTAACTTTAATCATCAACCTTGAGTTATTCAAAATGGCCATTTTTTCTTTCAGTTTTATAGAAATATAATTGATATAAAGTACTATATAAGTTTAAGATGTAATATATAATAACCTAACATGTGTACATATATACATATACATGTTTATAACGATTACCACAGAAAGTTTAGTTAACTTGCACTTAGGCAATAAACACATTAAGTTTCATTACCTTATGTAATGTACACCTTGACTATAGTTAATAACCCTGTATAATATATTTGAAAGAGCTAAGAGACTAGATCCTAAAGGTTCTCATCACAAGAAAAAAATATTTTATGTAACTATATAAAGTAAGAGATTAATAGTAAGAATTTCTTTTTATTTGTTCACTTAAATGTAGGGAATATCTTATATTTATGGTAACATTCAACTTCTAGAAATTCATCCTGACAAATACATTGATATAACTGATGACTGTACAGCATTACTAGAGTTGTTAAATAACAAATGGAATCTACTAGTTCATATATAAAGAGTTGACATTATCAAAGGAAAATGATTCAAAAACAAGAAAGAAATGCTTTATTACAAATTAATAAATTATTGTAATGTATAAATACATAATTATATAATAAATCATAAAATAAAATATAAGTCTGGCAAACCAACTTTTTCTACTTATCTTTATTGTCAATACTAAATCTTATTTAGTTTTATTTTGCATTTATTTTGGTGATATAAAGTTATATTAAAGCCAAATTAACATATACATAAATTTTTGTGTTTTTAATAATTGCCTAAGGCATAGTATTTCACTAAGGCATAGTATTATTTGTTAGCACATGACATTATACTTTTTACCTAACTTAAATAAACATGTGACTTGTAACAAAAATAGAAGCACAATTAACAAAATGATGATGTTTGCACTGATTAGCATGAACACTTAGAGGATAAAGGATGTGGAATTAGGCTTTCTGATCTCCAGTATTCTAAGGGATTATCACTTGTTTCTTTTTTAAGAGTCATTAATTGGGCATTAAGTTAGAAATGAGTGTCTTTAAATGATTCTATTTACCAATCCTTAAAAACATATTTAGTGATGAATTTTCCTTTCCTTATGTTTTGTTTTTAATCTGGGGATGTTCTTGCAATTTGTGGCAAGAAACGGCAAAGAAACGGAAGAGCTTACGTTCTTCTCGTCTAATGAACTGCTCTTAATTATAATACATTCGACCAGCAATTTTTTTTCTTCAAAATCCAAGAAAATATAATGGCATATAACAGTTATTTTTAAATAAATAAATATGCTGGTATGATGCCGAATATATGGTCATTTTCCTCCTCAGCTGAATCCATACTATTTGAGATTCTCATTGATACACACAGAAGTTGCTGCCCCCAAATGAATTCTCTATTTAACTGGAGAGATTCTATCTGTTACATTTTTATCTCTAAGTTTTCAGTTTTCCTCAGTATTTATCTCCTGATGTCATTTTTTTTTAGTTCCAGGACCCCATCTAGGATACTTTATTTCTTTTAGTTGTTATATCTCCTTAGCATTCTCTTGTCAGAGAGAGTTTTTCAGATTTTCCTTATTTTTGGTGACCTTAAAAATTTTGAGGAATACTGGTAAGGTGTTTTTGTAGAATGTCCCTCTAATGAAATTTATTGATTATTATTGTGTTTTCTAGAGAAAGACAGAAGAACTACCATGACATTTTTATCATGTAATATCATACAATGTATGTCCTAAATTATGTGTACATAATTTATCACTGTTCATGCTGATCTTGATAATGTGGTTGAGATAATAGTGCCTATTGGTTTTTGTCACTGTAAGGTTTGTAAGGTTGTTCTTTTTATATTTTTTTTAGAAATGGTTTGTTTTCCATCAACCTTTTTTTTTTTTTTTTTTTTTTTGCCTTTGTGGAAGAAGAGCTTATGGCCACTCAGTGGTTGTTCTTGCCCATGCAGTGGCCTGAGCAGTGGGAGCGGCATACCAGTCTTCCGTGGCAGGCTGAGCGCTCCAGTCTTCAATAGGGAATTGCTGAGTAGGTGTACCTGCACCCCTTCAGCCCAGTCTGTGACTTCATAGTGAGTAGCAGTGAACTCAGAGCTGGAGAAGTCCACTAACCCTGAAATTCCTCCTCGGGTCACGGCCTTTCAGCAGCAGCCTGCCGTTCAGTTTCAATCTCTTCAAAATCTGGACGATGAGGCATCACTTCCCACGGGTCTTCACAGCAAACAGTGCCACACAGGTGCAGAACTTCCCAAGCCAGCAACCTCTCCATCAGACCCACTGAGTCGCTGCAAGGGATGGCGATGTCCACAGAGCACAGAGGAGTGCCTGTGTCACACAGAGCGATGGTGGTCAGCCCTGGGATCAGTAAACCAAAAGTCCTGGCTTCTGGAAAACTGCCTGGATCTGGTCGGGGAAGGTTTCAGGAGTGAAACAGCCAGCAATGGGGGTGGCTCCAGTAGCAGCAACAAACTTCAGCACAGCTCGCTGGCCAGTATTCCTAGATGTCAGGACACAGACATCAGCAGGATTTTCAACAGCAACGGTACAAGCTGCCAGAAAAAGCTTCTTCCAGGTTCTCTTCAGACTTGTGCTGTAGATACCATCACTTTTCCTTTTGTAGATGTACTGTTCCTTTGGAAGCCAAGGTTGGTGCCACCTCAGCGGGTTCCTACTGCAAGGAATTTGAGGACATCTTCCTCCTTCGTTTGCAGGCCATTAAGGGCTCCAGACATTGTGAAAGTTTCCCTTAAAGTTACTATAGGAACACAGAACAAGGCTGTATAGACACCTCTCTGGGTAGCACAGAAAGGCAAGGTTGTTCTTTCTTCTTTCAATACTGTGCTTTTGCTATTGCATCACTATGTGCAGCCCATATTTAACGAGTGGGGAGTTATTCTCTCCCTCTCTGAAGATAGTGGGTGTATTTAAGTGTTGTGTAATTTTTCAGCTTAGGGATTTATCTCCTTTCTACAGTCATTTATTTAAATAATACTTTGTATCAGTATGGACTCAGAGATACTTAGTTTATACTTTGAGTTATAATTCAGTGATTATTTATTTATTTTTTGGTTGAAAATGTTCCAACTTTGGCCAAAGTTTAGTCAGCTCCTGTTTTTGTTGTTCTTGTTGCTATTTGTTATTGCTCGTTTTTGAGTACTTCCTTGCTTTCTGGCAACGTCAGATGCTCCAGACCCATCTTGTGTATTTCCTGCCCCCAAATCATGGGACAAGCCACTTTGCAAGGAGCCTTAGTTCTTTATACTGGAGAAACGGATTAGAAATGAAGAATTGGATCTTAAATGTGCTCACTGCTGATAGAGTGTCGTTGCTTACTGGTCTTCTCAGTTGACAAAGGGTATGGAAGTGCATACTCTAATGTGTGTATATGAAGATGTCTAGAAACATTTTTGTATGCAGACACCTGTATCTATATTAAACTACATATGAGTTCACCCTTGGTCGCAGCATATAATATTTTACACATTTTTGAATTCAGAGAGTTGTTCATAAAATCCTTTTGTGATTCAAGGATTTATTAAATCATGCATGCAAAATGTGCTAATTGGATTAGCAAAAGATCAATAGGTAAAAACACTCCATAATTCTGCAACTATCAATTTAAAAGTCTTGTTCTTAAGAGTGGTTGAAAGGTCCAACACTACATTCTTCCACTGTGTAAATTGTACTGCACGTTGTTCCTTCTGGCACTGAGTTTTCAAAACCTCACAGAGTAACATTTTTAGGCAAAGCAGTGTAACATTTTTAGGCAAATCAACAACAGACGTATGTGTCCATGTAGGGGCGGTAAAGTGGGGTCAGTTTCAGTGTTAGTCATCAGGCAAGACAGATATTAAGATTCATAGTCTAAGAATAAAGTACTTTACAAACTGTAAATCTACAACACGTGATTCTTATATCTACTTACTAGAAAACTAAGGAAAGCACATACAGATTTTGAATAAGGTAATATGAAAACAAGAATGCATTTTTGCTAATCTACAAAGAAAAAAACCCTCAAAGTTCTACTACAATTCAGAAAGATTTTATAGGACAGAGACCTAATGCTCAATTAAAGAGAGGATAAGAAATATACTTACTAAGTTAGCAATTAATTCAGAGGAAATTAAATACCCAATTGGAGGAGAGGTGGCATGTGTAAGAAAAAGGATAATCCTTAGATAACACTGATAACACCAACCTTTTTTCATCATCCAGCGCATTTGACAGAAAATAACCTTTTAAAAATTTTACCTGTGACACTTTTATTCAGCCTAAGTATTCTGTATACAGTGTAGTGTACATTAATTTCCACTCTGTATTTTGTCAAATGCTGTCATCATCTTTTGATCATGCCAAATATTTCACACATTCGACTCCAGTACACCCACACCTAAGAACAGCATTCTTCATTAGTGTTGGAATTTCCTAATATCAGAAGTTACAGGCTTCTAACTGTAAAACAGTTTAGTGCATAGTTTGTGGAGCACACAACACAACTTAGTTCAAGGGTATTTTGGCAACTCACGCTACTAAAAAATAAGTCTTGAGGCACCTGGGTGGCTCAGTCGGTTACACCTCTGACTTCAACTCAGGTCATAATCGCACGGTTTCTGGGCTTGAGCCCTGCATCAAGCTCTGTGCTCAGAGCCTGGAGCCTGCTTTGGATTCTGTGTCTCCCTCTCTTTCCCTCACCTGCTCACACTCGTCTGTTTCTTTCTCTCAAAAATAAATAAACATTTTAAAAATTAAAAAAAAAGAAAAGAAAAAGAAGGCTTTAAGAAGGCTTGTCATTGTAGGGCTAAATTTTAATAGAATGCTTAAAGTATGGGTTCAAATGTTCGCAAACAAAATTCTGGAATTCCTGATTAGTTTTTCCATAAAATAATTTGAACCAATATGTAACAAACTTTAGGCATCCGATGTGAAGGCTCCACCAGTTCTGAGCAAAGTGTACATGGTTCCAAGAGGGTCTGAGCAAGGAAGGAGAGGCTCAGATATGTACCAGCAGACACTTTCTCTCCCTCTTCTTCTTTTTTTAAATGTTTATTTATTTTGAGAGAAAAGCAAGCAAAGAGGAGCAGAGACAGGGGGAGACAGAGGATACAAAGAGGCTTTACACTGTCAGTGCAGAACCTGACCCGGGGTTCATTCCTATGAACTGTGAGATCATGACTTGGGCCAAAACCAAGAGTCGTATGCTTAACTGACTGAGCCACCCAGGGGCCCCTCCCTCCCTCTTCTTGATGAGAGTTTCCAGAGAATCACTGTAGAAGCTTCATCAAACACTGCTTTGAAGTATGAGAGCCAGGCACTTCCCTTTTTCTAGAGCCCAGAACCCCTCAGCCTTGGTTAATCTTCTCTTACAGTTTCTCAGTTATATCTTTATCATCTATATGATCAATGTTCCCTTGAGGAGGATAAGGGTGTTGAGTCAATAGTGCTGCACTTCAGGATACCACTTTGCAGAGACTGTCAAATGATTTAAGACTCAAAGGAAAAGAACAAATTGTCTGCACTGGGGCTCCAGGTGTCGAGAAAGAAAGTAGTGGGTTGGCTAGTCCAAAGCCCAAGCTTCTCATTTATATAAACTAGTCAGGCCCGATATTTAAGAGCTAGCTCCTCCCTAAGTAATACCGTATTGTTGATGGTGAAATCCCTGGACAGGGAACACCAGATTTAAAATCCTTCATAGGTAACTGACATTGGAAGTTGACTTTATATCTGTGTGGTACAGTTCCCTTATCTATCAAAGAAGTAGAGCACATTATGGTTGTGAGTATAAAGTAAGATTATATACCTGAAGTGCTAAACTAAAAATAGTGCCTTGCTTTCAAATAACCTTTCAGAGGACATAACTAACTATGAATTTAACATTACTACAACATCTCTATTCACCCACCCTTTGCCCTGATACCTATTATTATTGATCTTCTCTTGGGAATTAGTAGCAATAATCCCTGGCAGAACAAAACATAGACAAAAATAAAGCAAAACAAACAAACAAACAAAAATAGTTACTTTACTTAAAAATAAGTAGTTTGCCAGGAATGGCTAGCAAACCCACACTGAGGGATGAAAGATTACTCCACACTGCTAAGCAGGCGCGGAGAAGGCACGGGTCAAGACCCCATTTCCCTGACTCATATTATCATTTATTGTAGTATCAGGCCAATCACAAATCTTGGTTTGCTCTGTACAGAGGGCTTCTAACATTTCAGGCATGGAAAAACAAAGGGTGCATGACTTAAAAGTGAACAAGCACAAGAGACTAATCAAATCAGAGATGTAGGGCAAGGGTCTCTGTGTCCTATTGTTTTGCTAATCGTTGTATACAATGAATAGATAATGGGGTTCCCCAAGGACTGAAGAAACACTTAATGAGGGCCGTCCCCTGGGCATTCCCCTGTCAGGGCAGTTAAGCAGGCATTCCAAGAGACTGGCTCCTCCCAAGCGTACCCGCAGCCCACCAGAAATCTCAGTGTTAACATTTTAGCTAGCCAAGAATTGTGTATAATCTCGTCATCTTCAGTGATAATCCTAATAATCCATTTGTAGTTACTAGTACCTTCTATATAATACAGAAGCATTTCCGTATTCTTCCCTCAAGGAAGGGCAGGGACATCTAAGGCACTGTTGCTGGGATTTACAATGGAACCCTAGTTGATTTAGGGGAACTCCCGGATAAGAACTTCAGAGCCTAGATTGGGATTCTGTTTTCAGGAATAAATAGCTTAAACAACATTTCTCAGTCAGTGACTGATTTTTTTGTAAGATTATATTCATCTATCCCTGGAACACGGTTCTTTGATTAAATAATAAGATGAATAAATCATTTACAGTTTATTTTGCCTGAAGAGAGCTTAATTCTATCAGATGCAGTTTAGATTTTGGAGAACTGTAAGACTTTGGGGGCCACCCATTATTTATGTAGAGATTTAAAAATAATAGTGGTTGTACACTAAGCTAGCATAGCAATTACACAAGGCTTGACATCTTTAGAGGGCAAATGTCTCACAGAAATGGTGACAAATCCATGTGTAAGATTAAAAATATCAGAGTGAAAAAATATTCTAATCAAGCCACTCTAAATCAGGCCAGAAGGTGAATAATGACATTTCTTATCATTATTAATGCTTTTTTAAAAGTATACTTAACATGATAAATCATTTTTCGTATATAAAACCAATCAGGGTGAGGGCATTTGCCCTGTTTGAGGATAGGATTAACATACTGCTACTTAAACAACTAATGTTCTAAATATCCGGTGGTATATTAAATTGTCTGTGACCTCTACAAATAAAAAAAAAAAGTTTAAATTTCTTCTACTTAAACTATGTATAATATAAATTCATTATTTATAAAATACAGCCTAAATCTTAGAAAATTAGTTTCTTCAAATCCTTTAATTTTTAGAATTCTTGATAGTAAAAAGTATCTACTAAAATGTGTAAATGCATCCATGTGACTGCTCAGAGTGCCAGATTAAGGCAAACTGCGACATAGATCATTTTTCCTTAGAATGTTTGAGGAGTTTTTGGCTAATTGGCACCAGTCTCCTTCCAAATAGGACCAAAATTTCTTATTATCATTATTTTAATGCCTAATTTTTTATACTATTCCACACACTTCATTATAGCTTTTAGCATAAGTGGTCAGAATCCATCTTTTAGTTGTATCCAAAGTACCAGAACTGATATAAAATCTATTACACCATTCTGACACAACAGAATTTTTTAAGCCTGAATATTAATAATTTTCTTAAAATACACCAGATTCTAGTATCTAGCATATCAATGGCTTTACAGGTAACAAGAAAGACCAGAAAGTTTTATCTCTTCAGGATAATTTGTCTCTTGCATTTTCTTGATTTATAACACCAGTAAGACATTTACCATTATAAACTGAGTATATCACATTATTTAAATTGTGTATGTTACTGTACAGAGGGATATGGGCAAGTATGTGGTAACCTAAAACAATGAGCTTAGATGCTAAAGTAAATTATAGGAAAAACAGAACCATCTTGTGTGTTCACAACTTTTGTGGTTTAAAGAGACAATAGCCAAATATGAAGTGTGGGAGGATTCAAAAGTTCCTCTTCTCATTTGTTCCATTTCTGTTTACACCTTAAGCATGTGAACTGTTTAGTGCTATGTACTCTATAAATCAACAGTCTTCATCTACTTCTGTTTACAAAATTAAATAAATTACCTAGAGAAATTAAAGGAAAATTCTCTGATTGACTAAGAAGCCATTTTTAATTACAGCTCTCTAGGTCATCTAGTTAACTGGATATTACTAAAAGGTAGGATAAATGATTAAAAAGTGTTGGATTTGAAATGAGAATCTCTAGAAATTTAGTCTCATACGAAATTTGTAATCCTGGTTTTCTCACGTGAGAAACGGGTATAATATGTCACCCAAGTGAATGTGTAAGTATATTGGATGCATCACAAATTCATAAATACATGACAGGGCTTATGGTATGAAGTCATGTGTAACCAGCTATATCTAAAAATCTAAGATTTTTTTGTGAAAGAAAGGATTCAGAGATTTAAAAAATCCTTCGGAACTAAGAGCCAGCCCTTAGCCTAGATCCTTAAACCCTTAGAATACAAAAGCAACCATTTAGGGGCACTTGCGAGCCCTGTACCCTGGTTAAGCATCCAACTTCAGTTCAGGTCAAGATCTCACATCAGCTCCTGGATTGGAGCCCCGCTTGGGGCTCTGTGCTGATGGCTCAGAGCCTAGAGCCTGCTTCAAATTCTGTGTCTCCCTAGCTCTCTGCCGCTACCGAACTCGTGCTCAAGCATGAGCACTCTCTCAGAAAATGAACATTAAAAAAAAAAATTAAAGCAATCACTTAATTGTGTAAATAATATACCGATCTTAAAAAGCAGGCATTCTAATTGGAGAGTTGGAAATCTCCAGGCAGGTATGGCACTGACAATTCTTGGTAATGCCAAAGAAGAAGGAATCCTATAATGAATGGTGTCATGCCATTTAGATGGGCCTCCAGACTGCTTACTTCTAAATAAATGCCTGAGCGTTAGTTAAAACAATCTAAATAAATTAGTGTGAGATACAACTTTGATTACTAGAGTTTATTTAGGTGTTTTTGTTCCTGTGAAGGACCAAAAGCAAAAAAGAGAGAGACCAAAAATTAGGTTAAAAAGAAACACTGGATAAACTAATGTGTTGGAAAAAATATATATCTGATTAATAATTATCAATTATTATTGATAATTATACTGACAGTATAATTATTTTTGTATGAATGGAAATTCCTGCCTTCTGATTTATATAACTTTCCAAATGTCAATACCATACTGTTTACTTATGTAATATATATTTAAATATACATATAAATAAATATAATATGTAATACATATTTATGTTTAAAAATCAGGAAGTATGCCTCTAGCTTTTTTTCTTTTCTCTCATTGATATTTATTTTTAAAATGCATTTTATATGTGCTTTGTTATATTTTCATATAAATTTTAAATATTCAAAAAAGGAAATAATATATGTGTCACATAAACTCCAATATATATCTATGGATCACATTTTACATCTATTCTTGCATTCTTCCCTTAGGAGAATTTCTCCTCTCTTTACACACACATACATACACACACATACACACAACCTCTTACAAAAAAATTAGGATAATCTCACTTTATACATATAATAGCATAAGCTGCTCATTGTTCATTGCAAAATATAAAGATATTGTAATACATTTAAAATAGTCTTCATGACCATGGAAATTTTTAACTATGTATTAAGACTATATCACAATTAGCTAAATGGTGTTGATTGTGTTTGTAGTGTCAAAAAAATCTCAATTATAAACAATGCTGTAATTTCTGTTCCTCTTAATAATATAGAACTTAATCCTCTAGTCCCTCTCTTCCAAATATTCTGGCCTCTATTGCTCCCATCCCTATCAGTCTACTTTAGGCTGTAGTCATTCTTGCTTGATTCACCATCTTGGAAAATCTATTTCACCTCCCTGTCTCCTCCATTATATTGTTCATCATGCAATCAATTATATTCTGAAAAATCAAGTATACGATTATGCTACCTCCATACTTAGTGTTTTTAATAGAATGCTACTGCTCTCATGTTAAAAAGTGTATCTTCATCATGTTTTATAATATATGGTATCCCCCTCTTCAGCTTTATCTCGAGCTATTTTTTTCGTACTTTATGTGACTTTATTTTCTTTATCACCATGATGTATTACCTTCTCTCATAACTTAAATACTTGGTCTTTTCCCTGGGATCTTCCTTCAAGTCCTCTATATACATACAGACATATACTAGCTTGGCTAATATCTTCCTTTACTTTACAACTTATAATTCGCTCTCTCACTACCTACACCATTTTAAACCCATTCCCCTTGCATTGCCATAGTACACTGTCTTTTCCTCACTCATTCCAAATCATTTAATATTTGCTTTAACTTGTTGATGCTAGGCTTCATGAACTTACTGTTTCTTTATAACTATCACAGTGCCTAGTACATTATTTATGCTCAAATAATATTTTAAAAATTGACTTGAAGACTGTAGGGAGCCACTGAAGGTTATAAGCAATATAGAGACATAGTAAGTAGGTTGGATATAGAAGGTACACTCTCTTCATTCTCTCATCTAGTATGCTTCTTTTTAATAGAATCACCAGAAAATATAAACTCTGATTCTTCAGTTAGCATTCTGAATGCAAATAAGATCCTAGTAATTAAATGCATTCATGAAATATTTAAAAAGGAGAACAAAAGGTAAGTTTTTGCTGCTTTAAAATTTCCTATCAAGAATCAAAGCTACAGGTATATGAGTTTCTCCTAGCAACTTTGGTGGCAAAGACTATTCTCAGTATTTCCATATCTAGTTTCTTTCTTCATGGACAAAGGAAAGTTTGGGTGCAGAGCAAGAGATGCCGTCTATTCCATTTTCCTTTTGTTGAATTGTAGCTATGGCAGATTTTTTTCTTATCTTAAATTTTCTAGTTACAAGAGTAGCTTATTAAGTACCATTTCCTAGATTCTCAAAGATTGTATAAGCAACTATATTCTTACATTAATAATATTTTCCTAAAATACTGAGAATATTTGCTCTTTTCCAATCTCAGTTTTGAATGCCACAGCACTGGAGCCAGAAAAGGTGGCAGACACTTGAGGAAGGAAATCAACTTGACTATTTGAATGGCTTATCACTGAAGGCAGTTATTATCTGGTTACTACTGGAAAATGGAACCTACTAGAACATGGCATGTGATGACAAAATAGTTAAATTTTATTCTGTGGTAATCTGGAATAAAGAGTCAATTAAGATAACTTGTTGAAAGACCAAATGTCAAATGACTACTGCAATAAAACGTATTGATGGAGAAAACTGTGCATCAACTGTCTCCTTCTCCCTTTATGAAAATGATTAAAGAAAGAAAATGGCAAGTTAAAGATTTTAAATTAGTGGCCCAAACCACAGAGAACTGGGGAGTTTCAACCATCCAAAATAATGACTTATTTCTTATAATTATAGGGCTGTTTTCATAAAATATCAGATTCAAGGTCTGATAATGTGGGTTGCTAAAATACCATATAAAATTAATTCTCATTCTTGGCATAGCTAATTATTTAAAATTAGGAAATTTATGGGATAAAGTAGGACTGTAAGAATTGAAATGATAAATTATGGATGAATTTGGATGACTGTGATTATATGACAAATTTGTCTGATGGTCTAGTTTTGGCAGATTTAAAAACCATGTAGGGACTGTTCCTAGGCAAGTTACCTTGCAAGGGACACCAACTGACCTTATATTGCACCTCAACCATCCCAATCACCATCACATCTATAAGTGGACTCAGATCTCAATGTACCCTCAGACAGTGCAAAGTTCTACCTGAGATGAGAAGCCTCGCATGCCACAAATACTGTAGCCTTACTCTAACTATATATCAGTAGAAATCTAGGCAATTGTAGAAATTGCTTTTGTTTGTTACATTCATAATTTAAAAAACACATATATTTAAATACAGCCCAATATACGTAACCAAAGATTCTGGACCCAACAGACTAAGTTGAGCATCTTCAGGAGGTTCTGAAGTTTGCTGAGGTGACTGACTGAAACCTGGATTCACTAGGGCTTCAAGACCAGATCTTCTTTCCATCTTACAATATGGGAATGCAAACATGGAATGTTCAAGTAGATTATCATACAAGCTCTGCTTCCCTTCATCTTAACTACATCTCACAGAAGAGCCTAACCACTTACTTCAACAAGGTGTGACAAATAAACTGGAGACAATACCAACATCCTTAAAAAGGCTTGTAGGGGCTATACTCGCAGCCTGTGAAAGACACCAGAGGACAGATGGAAACCCAAAGCAGGAAAGGCTAAAAGGGAGCATAAAATCACTAGTTACTTTATTAATCAGCAGGGCTGATTATTTATCAGAATTGTTTGATATGAGGTTCCAAAGAGTAAAATACACTTCCCAAATTCTATTTGAAACACACACACACACACACACACACACACACACACACACAAAAGAAATAACTCTAAATTAGTGTATAAGGCGCAGAAATAAGCCACTATAATAGAGAAAGTAAAATCCCCTCTGTTACACAGGAATGGATTACTTCACAGACCAAGAGGATGAAAAGATCTAGGACCCTTCAAAAAAGGTTTTATGACAGTGCCACAGGATACACGGCATTTTCTTTCTGCCTTTGGCCAGAGATACCCAGGACCAGTTCTGAGAATAGAATATATAGGAAAACAGACATGCTGAGATGTTTGTACAGTTACTGATCACTGGCTCTCAGTCATCATTAACCCCCTGGAGGCGCAGAACGCTGCTACCAATTCATAGGTCAGAGCGAAAGACTGGGGAAGTCATGTGATAAACGGAATGTTGGACAATTTCCATCTCACAGTGAACCCAGCACATCCATGAGGTCATCTTATGGTTGTTTCATAGGCTCCAGAATCACATAGAGGCCAGATGAGTAGATCCCAAAATAATTTCTGTGCTCCCCTATTTAAAAGTTTTTAAAACAAAACTGAAATTTAACATGTATATATATATATATTCCATTGACACTTGCACTGATGATACAAAAGCAACAGTCTGCTGGCATTTTAGTTAAAGTCAATCTTATAGATAGATATAGATATATAGATATAAATAGCAATAGATATAGATAGATACAATGTAATATACTCTGCCATAAAAAGGATGAGATCTTGCCATTTACAGCAAAATGGATCGACCTAGAAGGTATTGTGTTGCATGAAATAAATCAGAAAAAGAAAGACAAATTTGATTTCACTGATATGTGAATTTAAAAAAGAAAACAAATGAAAAAACAAACATAACAGAATCAGATCAACAAATACAGAGAACAAACTGATAGTAGCCATGGTGCGGAGGTAGTCAAAATGGGTGAAAGGCAGTGGGAGATAGAGGCTTCCTGTTATGGAAGTAGTAAGTTATGGATATAAAGTCACAATAAACTGAATATAGTCAATGATGATATAACAGTGTCATGTGGTGACAGTTGATGACTACAGTTTTGCTGAGCACAGCATCACATAGAGTTGCTCAATCACTATGTTGTACACCTGAAACTAATGTAACATTGTGTGTTAACTATACTCAAAATTTATTATAATTTTCACTTTAAAAAAAGACTGGTAGAGTCTTTACAATGGTAAAGGCTCAGCCATTTAACAGATACATCCTTGATATCCTTGAAAACAGTTTCTCTTTTCAAAAAATAAAGAAATACATAACTGAAAAGCTTTGTTTCCAGTGATAAAATTCTAGTTTTCAAGTAGAAAATTACAATTTTGGAAAGTTTGTATCTGTTACCATGAGCTTGACAGTTTCCCAATACTTAAAGACTTTTCAAATAAGGTTTGTCATGGTATTTATGAATGAGATTTTTGATATTAAATAATAAAATGTGTCAAAATTTGAATGGTCTGCATAATACTATGAATCAATATTACCAAGTGATCAGTGAATGATGTTACAAAGTCATGCAGACATAAAAAATCCATTCAAAGTGCAAATGGGCTTATGTAACAGAGTTTGAAATTTATTGATAAGGTTTCAGATTCTGCATTGCAACTGACCTTTAAGAAACTACCACTTTTCAAGTTTTTTTCTAATATCAAAGAAGAATAGCCATAATTATCTGAAATGCTATTAAAGTTGCCTCTTGTTTCTAACTACACATCTTTGTAAGACCAAGTACTCTGCAGGTACTTTCACTCAAAAAACATGCAACTGATTCTAAGGATTCAACTTTGTTGTATTGACCCAGACATTAAAGTGGCTTACAAAATTATAAAATAATTACATTCTCTCACCTTTTTTTGAAAATATAGCGACACTTTCATAAAATCATATATTACAGATTGTCCTCTATGTTTTATTTTTGTCACTTTAAGTGAATCAATAAATACATACTCAGCTAACTTCTCATTATAATATTGAACGCAGTATTTATCTATAGATTTTACCCATATAAACAAAACCTCTTTGAAGTTTTCAATAATTTTTCAGAGAACAAAGTGACCCTGCTACCAAAAATTTTGAGAACTATTCAACTAAGTAAACTAAACAACTAAAAATCCTGACAAGTGTGATGTCACAATATGGCAGAGTAGGTGGTTCCCAACTTCAACACTACTCACAGACAGATCAGCCATCCACTATCCATACATAGGATGTCTGGGTGAAAATCCCATAAACAACGAATAATGTTGAAGCAACCCCTTGGGCCACAAAAACTGAGAAAAGGAAAATTGCATTAGAAGGAAAAAAGAAGCAGTTTCACCTTGAACATGTTCCCCCTGCCCAAGATGGCACAGCACTGCTCTGAGAACATCTTCCTATGCTTATGGTTTCTACAGTGGGGGGAGAGCCCAAAGTGGACTTCCAGTATCCCTAGCATTAGAGGACACTTCCTGTGAGGCCCACGTAGGTCTTGCCTCACAGTGGTCACCAGGGGAACCAGAGGGTCCAGACTACAGGAGATAAGCTAGAGATACAGACGGAGGTGGAGCTCACAGCAACCAACATGCAGATCTTGGCAGACCACAGCCGTTCAGTGGTTCTCCCCATTTGCAGAGCCAAGCTAGTGACTCCATCTGGCCAAGAAGCATGATTGGCAATTTTGCCCAGTTGCAGCTGGTCAATGGGCTATTCTGGCCAAGGAACAAATCATAGAGCCTGCCCGGACAGGGAGCCCATCCTACAAACCTACATGGGCAGACAGACAAGACAGCAGCCCCGCCCACCTATGGAGCATAATCTCTGGCCCTACCTCCAAGGAACTTGGGCAGCCACAGAGGCTAGTCTACTATACCACCTTGGCACAGAGCACAGCCGAGGGCCCTGCCTGATTGCTGAACACAACCTGCCTATGGAGTGACCTAAGCAAAAAGCCTACCAAGTGGCTTCACCCATTCACAGAGCATAACCTGCTGTCTGACTTGACCAAGAAACCCAAACAGCAAACTTGCCCAACAGCAGACCATGGCCTCCAGCCCCACACAGCTGCCAGGAGGAGCTGTCAGCCACATCTGACCAAGCTGCCTGCCCAGTGACCTCTCCAACAAACATGTCCAGCCTGTGGTCCTGCCCAACTCTGAGGTGTCCTATGGCCCCATCAGCCCAAGAACCCACCAGATCATTAGGCCCTGCCTTCACCCCCTGCAAATGTGGATTCTAGCCAGCAGTGGTGTCCATTTAGGGAGCAGATCCTGACTTTCAAGTTTCCAAAAGTCAAAGACAAAATTCTGAGGCAGCAAAAGAGACTTGTCACATACAAGTGAGTCCATCTAAGATGATCAGTGGGTTTCTCAATAGAAACCTAACAGGCCAAGAGAAAGTAGAATGATATATTCAAATACCGGGAGAAACCCGTCAACCAAGAATACTGACCTGGCAAAGCTGTCCTTCGTAAGTGAAAAGGAGATAAATCCTTTCTCAAACAAAAAAGCTTAGAGAGTTCATCACCACTAACCTGCCTTGCAAGAAATGCTAAGAGAGTTCTTCAAGCTGAAAGGAAATTAAATAACCATGTATAAACCTATGAATATGTAAAACTCTGTGATCAAAGCATATATATAATCAAAGTAAGATCCTCTAATATTGTAATGATGATACATAAATCACTTTCAACTCTAGTTTAAGAGTTAAAGGACTAATGTATTACAAATGGCTATAACTACAATAATTTGTTACTTAGATTCACCATATAATACAGATGTAAATTGTAACATCAATAACCTAAAATGTGAGTGGGGAGAGGTATGCAGTTTCTGTATGCTGAGGTAAAGTTGTTATCAGCTTAAAATATGATATTGTAACTATAAGGGATTTTATGTAAACTTCTTGTTATCTTCAATGAGAAATCTGTAGTAGATACACAAAAGATTAAGATGAAGGAATCAAAGCATACAGCCATGGCACTTCACATCACAAAGTAAGACAGAAAGAGAAGGAAAAAAGGAGCTAAAGATCTCCTAGTCAGAAAGCCATTAACTAAATGGCAATAGGAAGTCTTTATCAATAATTTCCTTAAATATAAATGGATTATATTTTCCAAACAAAAGACATAGACTGGCTGAATAAAAAATACAAGATTCCACCATATGCTGCCTAGGAAAATCTCACTTTAGCTTTAAGGACACATAGGCTGAAAAAGAAAGGATGGAAAGGATATTCCAAGAAAATGGTAACCAGAAGAGTCCAGGGGTGGCTATATTTATATCCGACAGTATAGACTTTAAGTTAGAAATGGTCACAAGAGGGGTGCCCCGGTGGCCCAATCAGTTAAGCGCTGGACTTCAGTTCAAGTCGTGATCTCATGGTTTGTGAGTTTAAGCCTTGCATTGGCTCTGTGATGTTTGCACAGAGCCAGCTTCAGATCCTCTGTCCCCCTCTTTCTTTGCCTCCTTCCTTTTGCTCTCTTTCTCAAAAATAAATAAACATTGAAAATTTTAAAAAGGAAAAAAAGAAATGGTCACAAGAGACAAAAAGTTGTCATATAATGACAAAGAGGTCAATATAATAATAATAATTATTTAGGCATCCATTACTGGATGCATATCTAGATTTGCATATCTACATATGCAAAGCAATACTAAACAAACTAAAAGGAGAAATAAACAGCAGTACAGTAGGGGACTTAATATCCCAGTCTCAACAACAGATAAATCATCTGGGCAGAAAATTAATAATAAAAGAGGAGATTTCAAAACCACTATATATAGATCGAGATACAGATTAGATGTAGATACAGATATATAGATATGGATATGATAAATAAACAGAACATTCCATCCAGCACCAGAATACATTCTCCTTAAATATGCAAGAGACATTCTCCAGGATAGATCTTAGGCCATGAAACAAGTCTTAACAAACCAAAGAAGTTTGAGATGATATCAAATATCTTTTCTAATCACAATACCAGTAGAAAAACTGAAAAATTCACAATCCTAGGGGAATTAAACAACATACTCATAAATTAACGATGGATCAAGGAATGAGGTACCTGGATGGCTCAGTCAGTTAAGTGTCCAGCTTAAGCAAAGGTCATGATCTCACATATTGTGGGTTAGAGCTCCATGTCAGGCTCTGTGCTAACAGCTCAGAGCCTGGAACCTGCTTCAGATTCTGTATCTCCCGTTCTCTCTCTCTCCCTTCCCCCACTTGCACTCTGTCTCAAGCCTTCTCAAAAACAAACATTAAAAAAAATGAAAACAAAGCAAAACAAAAAAAATGGATCAAGGAAGGAGTCAAAGATGGAAAGAAAAATATCTTGAGACAAATAAAAATGGAAGCACAAAATGCCAAAATACATTGCATGTAGCAAAAGCAGTTCTAAAAGGAAAGCTGTAGCTATAAAAAGGCCTATATTAAGAAAAAATTTCTCAAGTAAACAACTTAATATTACATCTCAAGGAGCTTGAAAAAGAACAAAGCACAAAATTAGCAAAAGGAAAATAAAAATAAAGATTACAGCAGAAATAAATGGAATAGAAACTAGAAAAATAGTTGAAAACATTAATGAAACTAGAGTTATTTTTTGTGTGAAGAAAAAATTAATAAACCTTAAGCTGAATTAACCAAGAAATATGATACTGGACTCAAATATAACTCTAAACAAGAAGACAGACTTTACAACTGATATCAGAGAAATACAAAGGGTCATTAGATACTAGTATAGACAATTATACTCCATTAGATTGTACAACCTAGTGGAAATGGATACATTCTCCTGGAAAGGGGGACACCATCATTTTTGAAGACTTTTGTGTTGGCTCACTTTTGCAGATCAGAGATGATATGTGAATGTTGCAACGGCATTTTATCCATCAACACAAGGAAAATAATGTGATCCTGGAAGAGCAAAAGCCAAGTTTTGTTAACTGTCTGAGAACAGAGAGGCACAATCACCACAGGAAGCCATGGAATTGAAGTAGAGACACTCAGCAGTATTTTATGAGACTTCTCTGGTGATGGTTCATTCATCACAGTGTCCCTAAAACTGAAATAGATAGGCACCCTGTTAAAGTGCTGCTTGACATGTATTGGAGGAACAAATTAAGCATCATAACTCAACTCACAGTAGTGAAAATTCATGGTCTCTTTTTTCAGTTTCTAGAACTAAACTGGTTCCTAGACATGTAGTCCCCTGATTAATGTAGAAACTATGTCTTTTCTGAGGAAAGACTCTGTTGTATTTGTATTACATGAATCCCTCTTCAAGTGTTCTATATTTTCCCGATGGCTATAAACGTGGAATAGATAAACAGCTATTCCTTTTGGAGTCAGTAGGTACTAGCACTGAGCTTACAATGACCCTGAGAGACTCAACTTGCCACTAAGGTCCAAGAGTGAGAATGCAGACTTAAAGAGGTCAGGGGTTAATAAGTACTTCCAGTGGTACCATGGACTTACTGGTGGTCCAAGGCTCATTAATTCAGGGGCACTAGAGTAGTAAAAGCTAAGTCTAAGTCCAGTAACTGAATCCTCTACCCTATTACAAGATCTACGTGGCCCAGACTAGTTGATACACAAAATTAACCATCACACAGGGGAATAGCTAAGGAACAAGAACACAAGAGCAAATATGCAAAATTCCTCCATGATTCTACAGCACCCTCCATTGCTTTGATAATAAATTTAAGGTAATATTGACTCCTGGGTGAAAATTCAATGATTTGAAACATCACTAAACCACTGAGAGATGAAAAGGTATGATTTTTATCTTAGTCCCTTTAATTTAGCTAATTTCTCTCTAAAAGTCTTTTGTGAGGTGGAGAATGACAACCAATGATTACAACCATAAAGTATGGTGACACCAAATCAACTGTAATTTAAGATCTGTTACCTCTCTTGGAGTAAATCTATACTCAATCCTGTTGTGCTATTGACTAATAAGTGAAATCCAAAGCAGTTTACATTCACAAAATCAACACTACCCTTTATTAGCTTACCTTTACTCTGTTGCGGCATAGTTTAGAGAAATTTTATTTATCCTCTTAGTCATCTTAGTTTAGGATTTTTCGAAAGAAATCAAGAATTTGGGTTCAGTGCTGATTTGGCAGATTATACCAGGACTGTAAGCCAGTGAAGGCAGGGACTGTGTCTGAGTTTTAATACCCAGAGCGCCACGTTATGTGGTGCTTAGCAAGCATTCAATAAGTGTTCTCATAATATGTGACTAAATAAGTGAATTACATAGAAAAGAGAAGAGTTTGCTAACTCAGTGTAAGTTTCTCCTCACTATGTCTGTTTGTAAGGGTGTTATAATTTCAAGAAGTAGAGAGGTTCTCAGAAAGAAAGAGACTGAGATAATTTCTAGGATTCTGCTTCAGTTACACAAAAGAAAATTATGGAACTA